TAGTAGTGATGATGTGATGTTATTTCAGGCTGATGGCCTCACCTTGGCCCTCATTCTGCCTCTCCTCCTGCTGTTGTTGATGTTGATGATGATGTTAGTAGTGATGTTGTTGATGATGTTGATGTTATTTCAGGCTGATGGGCTCACCTTGGCCCTCATTCTGCCTCTCCTCCTATTGATGTTGTTGATGTTGATGTTGATGATGATGTTAGTAGTGATGATGTTGATGTTGTTGATGTTATTTCAGGCTGATGGGCTCACCTTGGCCCTGATTCTGCCTCTCCTCCTGCTGTTGTTGATGTTGATGATGATGTTAGTAGTGATGATGTTGATGTTGTTGTTGTTGTTGACTCAGGCTGATGGGCTCACCTTGGCCCTCATTCTGCCTCTCCTCCTATTGATGATGTTGATGTTGTTGATGTTGATGATGTTGTTGTTGTTATTTCAGGCTGATGGCCTCACCTTGGCCCTCATTCTGCCTCTCCTCCTGCTGCTCCTCGCCGCTCTCCTGCTGCTGTGGTGGATCTGGCCTCTCTGCTGCACGCTGGTACTGTACACGCACTGTACATGCACTGTACACGCACTGTACACACTGTACTGTACATACTGTACACACACTGCGCGCAAAAAAATATTCATTATTATTATTCACGATGGTGGTGATGATGATGGTGGTGATGATGGTGGTGATGGTGGTGGTGATGGTGGTGATGGTGATGGTGGTGATGGTGGTGATGATGGTGGTGATGATGGTGGTGGTGATGGTGGTGGTGATGGTGATGGTGGTGGTGATGGTGGTGGTGATGGTGGTGGTGATGGTGGTGGTGATGATGGTGGTGATGGTGGTGGTGATGGTGATGGTGGTGATGGTGATGATGGTGGTGGTGATGGTGGTGGTGGTGGTGATGGTGGTGGTGATGGTGGTGGTGGTGGTGATGGTGGTGGTGATGGTGGTGGTGATGGTGGTGGTGGTGGTGATGGTGGTGGTGATGGTGGTGATGGTGGTGGTGATGGTGATGGTGGTGATGGTGATGATGGTGGTGGTGATGGTGGTGGTGATGGTGGTGGTGATGGTGGTGGTGATGGTGGTGGTGATGATGCAGGTGATGGTGGTGATGGTGGTGGTGGTGATGGTGGTGGTGATGGTGGTGGTGGTGATGGTGGTGATGATGGTGGTGATGATGGTGGTGGTGATGGTGGTGGTGGTGATGGTGGTGGTGGTGATGATGGTGGTGATGGTGGTGGTGATGGTGATGATGGTGGTGGTGGTGATGATGGTGGTGGTGGTGGTGATGATGGTGGTGGTGGTGATGGTGATGGTGGTGGTGGTGATGGTGATGGTGGTGATGGTGGTGGTGGTGATGATGGTGGTGATGGTGGTGGTTGATGGTGGTGATGGTGGTGATGATCGTGGTTGATGGTGGTGATGCAATCTATCGAAAAGTCATCCAAAACCGACAATCTGCCCGCTGAGCTTCACCGAAACGGTCAATGTTTTTTTCAGATTTCCCCCACCCCCGAACAAAAAAATAAAATCGTTGACAATTTTAACCTTCGCTTTTCCGAAGCCGGTTAATTCTTGTTGACGAGGTATTGGGGGGTCACCTCGCCTGCCCCATGCAAATCCCTCCAACCCCTGTCCAAACATCAAGCGCATTTTAGTTTCCCAGCCAATCCACGATGGCGATGTCCTGAAACAGCCGTCCTACCCCCAAGGGCCCTCCTCAGCCGGAGGCAGATAGTTTTCCCGTCTTTGCTCCACCAGCTGTTGGTCACCCAGTACACGAATCCTATAGGCCCACGATTTTCAAACGTGCCCGTCAGAGAAGCATCGGTTCCCCTAGAATGGCAACATTCCGATGTCCGTCCGCTTCACAAAAAGCGGGGGCCCCCCTCTAACGATGAGCCCAATAACTACCGGACCCATCTCAGCTTTGTCCCCCGTTGATGAACATTTTCCGCGAAAATTATTGAACCTACCAAATGAGCAGTTTCATGCCCACCAACAATCCCCTAACATGTAAAACAATCCGGGCTCCGGAAAAAAAAATACAGCACCACATCTCCCGCATTAGACACTCTCTCTGAATCACATTCACAGTAGCCTTGACAATAAGCAGTACCTTGCCTGGCTTTTTATCTAGACCTGTCCAAAGCTTTTGATGCAGTGGACCACAACAACCCTGGTTAGTAAACTGACTTTGCCCCCGGGTTTTTTTTCCGAGAACACAGGACAATGGTTTAAAAAAGAATCACCTCTCTTCTCGCACCCAAGCTGTATTCACAGATGGTTGGAGGTCAAACGGCATTAAGATAACTAAAGGAGGGTTCCACAGGGTTCCATCCTCGGCCCCCTCTTGTTCTCCTCTCTTTACGTCAACGACTTGGGCACTGACTCGGATCATTCCGGGGGTAAATCTTTTTGCAGGCGACACGATACTGATCGCTGCTGGCCGCTCCCCGGATGATGGTGATTGCTAAGCTCTCCAGGGCGATTTCGACAAACTACAACATCAGCTGGTTGCTCTTAAACTAGTCCCTGAATACCTCCAAAACCAAGGTGCTATGCTTCTCACCGGGACTAAAGCGGGAAGTTACTTTTCCCCCAATTGCATTCCTTGAATAGTTATCAAATAGAGCAAAGTCAAGATCTATAAGTATCTTGGGATGATCCTGGATTCAAAACTTAGTTTTGAAGATCACATTGATTATGTTGGTAAAAAGACAAAAATAAAAATTGGTTTTCCGTATCGACACAAGCACTGCTTCCACGCTATGCTCCGTTTGGAATTGATAAAAGCTACCATACTGCCTCTACTTGACTACTGTGACATCGTGTATAAATCAGCCCCAAGTACCGTACTGAAGAAGCTTGATTCCATCTATCACTCGGCCTTAAGATTTACATTGAACTGCCCATATAGGACTCACCACTGTGATCTCTACATTGGGTCAAACTTAACATCTCTTAATGTTCAACGGCTTGTGCACCAGATGATCTTATTTATTCACGATGTACTTACAAACAAAATCCGCAGACTTACCTGCTGCTGGATCTCCTCTCTGTTACAAAGAACAAATTTGACCTCAGGTCTTCGCTCATTTACCAGCTACACATTCCCCTATTGCCGTACAAAAACCGGAGGAAGGGCCCTTTGCTATTGATGACCCCCAGGGTCTGGAATGCTATTGCCAATAAACTGCAACTTGAATCGCTACTTATGAGAGATCTTCACTCAAAACTGCTCTAGAGGAGTTGTTACACCCCTAGCTGCTGCTGCTGCTATTCAGTGGCCTAAAATATGGCTCTAGATTTTGGTGTTATAATTTATTTATGTAGTTTATTGTTAAAAATTCGGTCACAGTCCCTATGATCACTGTCACATTGCATTTATGGCTTTTATTTTGGTGTTTTCGAAAACGTTTTTTTGTGTTTTGGCCATATTTTTGTTTATTGTAGTAAGGAGTTAGACTGATGGCCTTAATCTTAGTTGTCTTGTGGTTGTTGTTGTAGTAACGGAGTTAGACTGATGGCCTTAATCTAAAGTTGTCTTGTGGTTGTTGTTGTAGTAACGGAGTTAGACTGATGGCCTTAATCTAAGTTGTCTTGTGGTTGTTGTTGTAGTACGGAGTTAGACTGATGGCCTTAATCTAAGTTGTCTTGTGGTTGTTGTTGTTGTTGTAGTACGGAGTTAGACTGATGACCTTAATCTAAAGTTGTCTTGTTGTGGTTGTTGTTGTAGTATGGAGTTAGACTGATGGCCTTAATCTAAGTTGTCTTGTGGTTGTTGTTGTAGTAACGGAGTTAGACTGATGGCCTTAATCTTAGTTGTCTTGTGGTTGTTGTTGTAGTACGGAGTTAGACTGATGGCCTTAATCTAAGTTGTCTTGTGGTTGTTGTTGTAGTACGGAGTTAGACTGATGGCCTTAATCTAAGTTGTCTTGTGGTTGTTGTTGTAGTACGGAGTTTAGACTGATGGCCTTAATCTAAGTTGTCTTGTTGTGGTTGTTGTTGTAGTACGGAGTTAGACTGATGGCCTTAATCTAAGTTGTCTTGTGGTTGTTGTTGTAGTACGGAGTTAGACTGATGGCCTTAATCTAAGTTGTCTTGTTGTGGTTGTTGTTGTAGTACGGAGTTAGACTGATGGCCTTAATCTAAGTTGTCTTGTGGTTGTTGTTGTAGTAACGGAGTTAGACTGATGGCCTTAATCTTAGTTGTCTTGTGGTTGTTGTTGTAGTAACGGAGTTAGACTGATGGCCTTAATCTTAGTTGTCTTGTGGTTGTTGTTGTTGTAGTAACGGAGTTAGACTGATGGCCTTAATCTAAGTTGTCTTGTGGTTGTTGTAGTACGGAGTTAGACTGATGGCCTTAATCTAAGTTGTCTTGTGGTTGTTGTAGTACGGAGTTAGACTGATGGCCTTAATCTAAGTTGCCTTGTGGTGGTTGTTGTAGTACGGAGTTAGACTGATGGCCTTAATCTAAGTTGTCTTGTTGTGGTTGTTGTTGTAGTACGGAGTTAGACTGACGGCCTTAATCTAAGTTGTCTTGTGGTTGTTGTTGTAGTAACGGAGTTAGACTGATGGCCTTAATCTAAGTTGTCTTGTTGTGGTTGTTGTTGTAGTAACGGAGTTAGACTGATGGCCTTAATCTAAGTTGTCTTGTGGTTGTTGTTGTAGTAACGGAGTTAG